GCAGGTTTTGGTGAAACTGGAAGTTTCTGGTCTTGAACCTGCATGTTGGCAGGGAATGTAGTCATCAATACTATCATCATAAAGGAAGTGGTCAGCAAAGAAGAAATTAAATTCTTGGATATGTGATAAAGCTACCACAGCAGAAGTACAGCTCCAAAATTAAGAAAAGATTTTATAACAGCAATGTACTGGTGAAGCACATACTATTCAGCTAAGGAAAGGTTTGTGGAGTTCACATTGATCTCTTCCTTACCTCCACCCCAGACTCATGTCGTGCTCTGCAGCTCTGTCCTCTTGGCAACCCCAATCATGCAGTAGTGCCTAGTAGCACACTTAAATTTATGTAGTTGGGGCCCTAGCGAAAAACCTCAGTTTGAACAGTTGCCATGAAAATATTTGTAGATAGAGGGAAGGCACATCATATTGGTGAGAAAGTGACTGATGCCTTCCTGTTTTCGTTTTCCCATCAGTCATGGATCCCCTATTAACAGAATATCTTTTTGTTATTAATGCACTGATTGGGACTCATTTTGGGACTTCCTTTGTGATGCTCCTTGAAATTAGATTTTTGATCATCCAGTTCATAAATGTGTCACTGAAGTCACTTCTTGAGTGATAGTCAGCATCAAAGCTTTCATTACAGCAAGTGCAACCACTATCATCATCATCTTCTTGGTTCTCACCTGCAGCTCAATTGCTACAACACAGGAATCACTTCTTCCAGCTATACCAGAATGACAAGTCTGATTGTAACAGGCATCGCTTTGTTATTGCTCATAATCAGTGCAAGCATGTCCTCAAAGAAACAAAGTCACTATTTGCTGTATAACCTCTCAGATGTTTGATTCTAGAAATTACTGGCGGCTCTATAAAAGTGTGCTGAACAATAGAAAATCCTCAGTCCCTACTGCAGGTAAATTAGTGTGTTGCTCAGAAGTTCTTTTCCAACTCCATTCTCAACACATCTGGAGTACCTCTGCCAGAGTTACCCACAAGAATGGAAGCTCTTCTGAGTGATATGGTCATAACCCCATCACTGTCTTCAGACATCATTTCTAAATTAGAACCCCACAAGGCAAGCAGATGTAACAGGATCTCTGCTGTCATCCTAAAGAAATATACTCCTGAGCTGGCTCCTGTTTTCTTCAAACTTTACCACAAATGCCTTACTGCTTCCTGCTCTACAGGTTGTTGAAAGTTCTCCTCTGCAGTTCCCATTTTAAGAGCTCTGGGAAATCCTCTGACCCCTCAAAATATCATCCTATTAGTCTCTTACCACTTTTTGGCAAAGTACTAGAAGCTCTAATTAATGGCAAATTGATTAAGCATCTTACTTCACACGACATCCTTTCAGACAAGCAATGTGGCTTCCATTTTGCCAGGTCTACCACTGACATGTTAACAGCCAACATTGAAAATGTCTATCAAGCTCTAGATAAGAATGGCAAAGCCCAAGCTGTGGCTCTAGATATCTTGAAGGCATTTAACAGGGTTTGGCATGTTGGTCTTCTATGTAAACTCAAGGGTTATGGTGTCACAGGATTAATATTTGGCTTAGTCCAATCAACTCATGTAATGAAGGTTGTGCTGAACATGCATGTTTCCAAATAATTTTGTGGTAATGTGGGGGCCCTCCAGGGCTCTATCTTTGGACCAATTATATTTCTGATCTTCATCTCCCTGATGGAATCAGTTTCCAACTAGTTATTTATGAAGATGACACAACCATTTACTCCTAGCAAAACTCAACAAAGTAAACTTGGCAATTGTTCTTAAAAAGGACCTCCAATCAATGATTAAGAAGTAAGAAATGGCTTATAAATTTTAATGCCTAAAACAAAACTGCTTTCATTTAATAACCACAGAGAACATTTTCTGCCTGTCATCAACATGGCTGATGCTAAACTCCAGAAGAGCAACTCTTTACATAATTTTTTTTATTTCCTTTTTGGCTTCACATTTTCCACTGACATGAAGTAGAGTGACTATATCGATTCAATTGCTATATCTACTGCAAGAAAAATTGGTTCACTGTGTTGTGCCAAAAAGATTTTCTTGATACATATCTTGAGATTCTTGACAAAATTCAAAGAAGGGTTTGCAATTTAATTGATATTTACCAGGTATCATGGCTTAAGTCACTTTCTCACCAACATGACATGGCTTCCCTCTGGTTTTTTTTTTATAAATATTTTCATGGCAACTGTTCCAACTGAGGTTTTTTTGCTAGAGCTCAAACTACATAAATTTAAGTGTGCTACTAGATTGGCAACTAGGTCCCACAATTTTACTGTTGAAAAAAAATAGATGCAACTGCCACTTCTACACTAACAGTTTCTTTTCTCACACTTCTCACCTGTGGAACTCCTTTCCAATTAACTACAGTCTTCAAAAATTTAAATGTAATGGCAATTGCCATCTTCTGTCTTCTTGAACATTGTTCTTTTTTTTTTTTGTCCTTTCCTCAATCCTCTCCACTACAGACTTCTCATTCTCTTTCTCTTCCTGTACTCCCCTGCATTCTAGTGGAATTATTGGTTTGCTTAGGGCATAATGATTAAAAAAGAAAATTAAAATTAATATGTAAGACTTTTAAATAAGATCTAAAATTTAAATGCAACGTCAATCATCATCATTTGTCTTTTTTAATCCCATTCTGTTATTGTCCTTTTTCCTCAACAAAATTTTCTCAGTTTCTTTCACTTTTAGTGACACCTTGTGCTTTAGTGGCTTTATCTCCTTGCTTGAAGGGAAATGAATAAAAACATATATAGTAAGGCTGATCAATCTGACAAGATCAAAATGGCAGCCAATGTCCAAAAAGACCTCAAGTTCATCATTTACTAGGGCAAAAGATGGCTTTTTAATTTCAACACATCCAAAACTAAACTTCTCTCCATTAATCATCTGAGAGATCTCTTTCTGCCTTCCATCAGCACAGCTGATGCTAACTTCCAAGTGACTCATTGCACCTTCTCATGCTAATGTTCTCAGCTGACATGAAGTGGAAAGACTGTATTGAATCCATTGCTAGGTCAGATGCTATGAAAGTTAGTTCACTATGTTGTACAAGACAATTTTTCTCTCTAGAATTTATCTTACATATCTATAAGTCTACCATTCATTCATTCATGCTTAGAATATTGCTGCCACATATGGTCCAGTGTCCCTGCTATTTACCCTGAGCTCTTTGATAAAATCCAAAGAAGAATCAGCAATACTATTGGTTTAGATCTGGCAGCACAGCCCCAGTCACTTTCCCATTGCCATAAGGTTGCCTCTCTGTGACATTTGTATAAATACTTTCATGGTAATTGTTCAGATGAGCTCTTTGCTATTGTACCTAGTTTTTTTTAATTTTAAGCACAGAACAAGACTGGCGTCAAGATCTCATTGAATTATAGTTGAGCTGGCTAGATGCTAACATTTTCTTTTCTTGCACTTCTTGCTTATGGAAGTCCCTTTTGGTTCCATGCTTTCCAGCCAATTTTAATGTGCAAAAATTTAAATGTAATGTCAATCACTATCTACTGTCCTCTTGATTACTCCTTTCTCTTCTCGCTCATTATTTATGTTTCTGTTCCTAATTCTTTCGCACCCTGTAAACCCCTGTGTCTTAGTGGCTTTACTGCCTTGCTTGGGGGTGGATAATTGATTATAAAAATTAAATATAAATATAGAGGACTCATCTGTTAAATACTATTCACTTATTTTCCTAAATATTCTTTGTCAATGGTTATAGATGTGTATGATGAGAAATAAAGTATGAGTGTTTTCTGATTTTATCTTTCTAAAATTTCTCCAATGAATTGGTTTGACGAACAAATCTTGTCTCATGTTTCATATTAAATATTTGAAGCTTTTCTTCCAACCTTTAAGATGAAGAAAATGGTAAACAAATGAAATTAAGAAGAGAAAAGGATGTTAAATGAAAGAAGAAACTGCAAAATATGAAATAATTAACTATATTATTTTTTTTGGAATGAAAACAAAACACTTTATTAAATAAATAATATAAATTTCTGTACTTATAAAAAGGTTATACTATGGATAGTGGCTCATAATGAGAAATTGGCAGTCCAAGTTTGAATTCCAGTTGAGTTTGTTACATTCACTTTAGCATAAATATTTTTAGAAAAAGGTATGAATCCATCTCTTCTTAAATAGCAGGGTAAACTGGGCTCTCTAGCTGTGGTAGGCAAAGGAAAAGGACAACTCTGAATACAAAACTCAGCCATCTGAAACTCTACAAATATCGTTAGACATGGTGTGCAGATATTACAACTGTAAAAATGCCTATTCTCTGGTTCACACTCTTCCCTAGTCTTTTGAACAGGGGTAGAAATTTATCTCTTGTTTTCTGTTCAGGATTAGGTTTCTGGTTCCTTTTAAAGTCTTTTCATTCTCTTTCACTCCCAGTAACCCCTTGCATCTTAGTGGCTTTATTACCTTGCTTGGAGTGAAATGATTTAAAAACTGTACAAATAATGTAAATAGTAACTTGGTTCCAGTCAGTGGAAATGACTGCAAAGTTATAGACAAAACATCCAAAGGCATGCTGGGATTACTTCCTACCCAATAAGATAGACCATTTTTGGTCACAACTGCTACATTGTTGTTCTTGAAATCAGAATGCTGCAATCACTTGTCTGTATCCATTTTGTGTGTTAACACCATTCTTAGTTTGTGAACCATTTTCACTCAATACTGTTGCTTTGCCAACTTTTGTCTTGCATATATATATTGTCTGCTTTGTATTAATTTTTGCTCTGTTCTTTTCTTTCTTTTGTTATTGTTTATTGTAAACTTTCTCAATTCTGTTTTTTGGTCATTTCTGCCAGTGACATTTAACTGTGGCCAATTACTCTACAGTAATATAAAATTTACCATTTCGTTTCAAAGACAAGTAATTACTCAGTATACAAGACAAGAACAATAATACAAATATAGTAATATTAAAAGTTTAAATTTAACACAAAAAAAGCAATAATTATACTCACCACTCCTGAGCGTCTGTGTTAGAAGATGATAAAAGTTTTTCTGTCGTACATCCAGATATCCTACATTTTTCAATGGTTCAGGACTATCACAGTCTTCGAGCTTGATGACCACCATTCGTTGCTGATGGAGGCTTGAATCTGTCAAATTTTGGAGAATTTCCTGGAATTCAAACCATGTTGAAGACACATAATTCCGACTGAGTACAATGACTACACGTTCACTCAACATGGCTGCACATAGTGTTGACTGGATATTGCTACTCCTATTTTTGCTTGTTCTGTTATTGTTGTTGTTGTAGTAGCACTTATAGTAGTAAGGGCAGTCTTCAAGCTTGTTAACAATTCCTTCAACCCAGACGTTATCATGTGGACTGTGTGTAAAAAATATATGGTATCTATATAAATCTTGCAAAGGTGGTGCTGGGAAAAAGGAATCCATATTGATGCAGTCATCAGTGGTGTAGCTTTCCAGCTCATTCTGTTCGCCTTCCTCTCCATGCTGAAGACTAAATGAACCACACACAGAATTGGAAGAGGAATCCAAGAGCACACCCTCATTACTGATAGCATCACCAGGTTCATCTTTTGGTATCAGGTTTTGGTGATCTGAAAATATTCATAAAGAATGTGGATTTTAGGTTTAGTTTAGTTGTTCTAGTTTAGCAGCATATCAACCTCTATGAATTATTTAATACCAAAATCGAAATATTTTGTAAACAATTTTATGGCATCAATTACAGATATTTTGTACATAATTTTATACTTTGTTTGATTACTGCCCCCTGATGATAATTACAGGTGGTAAGATTTTGAATTACCACTTCCTGACGATAATCACAAGTGGTGATATTTTGAATTACCGCCCCCGATGATAATTACAGGTGACGTGAGATTTGAAAGAAGCACTGTCTTTCACAGTGACTTTTCATAGTGAAAAGACATATTCTTTTTGCCTCCATAAAGTGTGAGTACTCAACTACAGACACTGAAGTTTGCTTTGAACTTTTCACATTTCATTTCATCTCTCATTTTTCCTTTTGTAAAATGTCCTGTCAATATTTTTTAATATTTCTTTATTCAAATTCTATGTTTTATTTTTCCTTTGAACTTACACAGTCCCACCAAAAATTGTTATCAGTTCAAATGTACCAGGAGTTTGTAAAAAGTGTTGAAGACCACAACAACTTTCAGGGTCTGATGTGCCTGCAATACATCTCAAGGTTCTTGACCAAATCTAAAGAAGTGTCTGTAATGTAATTGATCCTTACCAAGCATTTTTTTCAGTCACTTTCTCACCAATATAATGTTACATCTCTCTGTCTTTTCTATAAATATTTTCATAGCAACTGCTCTGCTGAGATTTATCTCTAGTGCCCTAACTAGATGAATTTAAATGTGCTACTAGATTGGCAACTAGGTCACACCGTTTTGCTGTTGAACTAGCTAGATGCAACTGTCACTTCTACTCTAACAGCTTCTTTTCTCAAACTTCCTACCTGTGGAACTCTCTTTTGACTTCTTGCTTCCCTTACTTCAAAAATTTAAATGCAATGTCTTTCATCATCATCTGTCTGCTTGAACTCTCTGCCTTTTTTGTCCATTCCTCAATCCTCCCCATTTTCAATCTCTTTATTCTCTTTCACTTTCACTCCCTGTTACCCCCTCCAAACACACACACACACACTATGTTCTAATGGCATTATCAGCTTGCATGGGGTAAAACGATTAAAAAAAATATTGCTTGTTGATTAATCAATTCATTTTCCATTGCTTATCAACCCTTGGCTGGTTATTTAAAGCCAGAAAATATTTTAGATTGCAAGAACTTTTTTGGAGATAATAATGGTTTAGTGATACAAGTCTTGCTAATTAACCTATAGCTGGGGAGAAGTGATGGATTCATACCTTTCCCAAGGGTATTTGCATGTAAGTGAAAATAACAAACCCAACAGAGATTGGAACTCAGCTCTCCAATTAACAATTCGGAGCCATTATCCATTACACCACCCACACATCCAAGCTTATAGCACCTGGTATTTCCAAGAAGTCAACCATCTAGGTATTGACCAGACTCGATGTTGCTTAACTTCATGATGTGGGCATAAAGCATATAGTTTATTGATGATCTGTTGTAGGTGTTATATGTTTTGGTATAAACCTATTTCTTTAAGGTAAGGCATTATGTTGATGCTTTCAATATTTTCAAATAATTTTCTCATGTTTTCATTGTAGTATTTGTGTCTTATAAGGATCTCATGGTTTCTTACCCCCCTGCAGAAGTGCAGTCATTGTAAAAAAAAAAGACATGACTTCTTTTTTTTCTAAATCAGGAAAACTTTAAAAACATTTTACGATATTAAAAAAAAGATAACTTGTTTTTGTTTATATCCCCCTGTTTTATTTAAAAAGAAAAACAAAAAACACATTGTACTTTTAATTCATAATTTACCAGTTTTTTAATATTTATTTTGATTCTAACAAGTGAGGAGTCATAAATTAAATGCCACATTAACAGAAACATGGTTTGTTTTTCTTTTAACAATGTAAAAAAATGCAATGCATTTTTAAATTATTTTGCATTGTTTTACTACCATGAAAATTTATAAATTGAATGTCTATTTTTAGACTTTAAATAAAGTTTCTGCACTTGGAAAAAATATATTAATTTTAAATTTTCTTTTAAATTTCCATTCAATATTTCTAGAAAAAAATTGAAATGCATGTGATATCCTTAAACCATAGCAATTATTTCAATTTATTTATTTATCTATTTTATAATTTAAGAAAAGTAATGATTTTATATCTGTATTAAAGCTAGGCCTATGATAAGATTGAAAAAAAAAACAATTGATTCACTTATTTATTTATTTTCACTAGCAATTCACAGACATGAAAAATCAAAATCAAAGAACTGAAGCTAAAGTCTGGACGTCTCACATAGGTGTGAAAAAACTGTGGATCCATTAAATTCACTTAATCCAACGCACATGAAGCCCTTTAAAAATGTTCAAATTTTTTTCACACCTTTTGCTCATGTCTTATAAGTGAAGTTTATCCCCACCAGCTGACAGCACATTTTGAAGACAATTTTTTTTATTGCTGGCTGGCTTGCTTTGAGCCAAACCATATCAAAGACAAATTGGCTTCATTTGAACCCTATCTTCTTACTTGTCACTGCTTTTTTTGCAAAAATTATTGAAATTATGCTATTGTTTTTTTTTCTTTTCTGAAAAATCAAACCAAAAGTGCAGCCAGGGGCGGACTATCTCCTCTGCCCAACTCCTAGCTACACCACTGGTGAGGGGAGGCTAAATTGCACAAGACCCTTACCAAAAATAAAAGCATTTGAAAAAAATGAAACAAAAATGTAGTTATGCTAATTGAACTGTTTTTATAATTAAATAATTTTCTATGACAGTCTGTTTGATTAAGCATTGCTAATTTAAATCTTTCTAAAGCTTTATCATGAAATTCCCTAGAAAACCTGAAAAATGTGCTTCAATGATATTTAATGGTTGGGTGGCAGAAATCTGTTCAGTTGCTGAGTCAGATTTTAAATGTTTTCTTTGAATGAAAAAAGAAAAGAGTGGTTTAGCACAGACTGAAATCTTTCACATTTTTAATTCAGAAATGATATTGCAGTGCATTCACTGCATAGAATAAGTAATCTCGATTGACATATTTATGATAACTAATTTATCACATTTGCTTATAAACAAATAAGTGATAAATTATAAATGATAAATTATGATGAAAGTATTAATAAGACAATTTTTAAATAAACAATCCTAATCCTTATCATCATTTTATGTTACATAATACATCTTTTAGTAATCAACTTTCTCAAACCAGGTATTGAGGAATGATCAGCAACTCCTACCAGTTCAATACCGCAAAATAAAAATCTTCCTATCATTAAATCTTTCCTCAAGGGCTATCGACAACAAGATGTGTACTGCAATATAATAAAGTAAATATATTTATTTCTTATATCTGGACACATATTTCTTTAGAATACCAGGGTGCAACTAGACATCTTTCAGGGTGCACTAGTGTGCCCAGGTGCACCATTTGAGAACCACTGGTTTAAACAAGCAAAAATGAATTGATTTAAAAAAAATGATTTCAAAAAATATTGTAACAAATAAATTTTTAAAAAGTTATTTATTAGTTTGTGTCATCTTTTTCTGATTCATTGTACATGTCAGACGGATATAAATACTAAGAAAGCAAAAATAAATGAAAATGTCCCTCTCATCATAGGAGCTCTGAGCATCACATCCAACTCACAAAACAAATCCCCTCAAAAACATAATACAATATAAAAGGGGCCAAGTGAACGGGCAAGCTGTCAACATCACCATCAGTGACCTTGGTCAATTAACCCAATCCAAACACTAACTCCAAGCCCTACCAATTATACTTTTCCTCTAAGTCATTTCCCTTGCCCACAAAAAGATTCTGCTCACATCTTTTGTATCAGCAACACAAAGAATTTTATACACTAATTGCATGAATTTAAGCATGCTACTAGGTTGGCATCTCAATCCCACACTTTCACAGACTAAACAGTTAAATGTAACCACCTCTTCTACTCTATCATCTTCTTCACTTGCACTTCCCGACAGTGGAACTCCCTTCCTCTTACTTGCTTCCCTGATAGCTATAATCTTTAAATATTCATATACAATATCAATCAACATCTTCTGATACCCTGATCCTGATCCCTGTCCTTCTTTATATCCTTTCTTCAAACACCCTCTTTACTCTTGCTCTCTCTCTCTCTCTCTCTGTAACCCCTTGCATGCTAGTGGCACTCCCACCTTGCTTGGGGTGATATGCTTAAAAAAAAAAATATTAACCACTCTTGTCTTCTTTTCTTTCACCTCACCAGTTGTACTTATTGTTTCATTTGTTCTCTCCTGCTACCATATGCATATTTATAATAGTAATTTCCATCTTGGTTAACAAATTACAATAACAAATATACCATCCTTAAATATATCATAACAGATGATGTAAAGTGTGTTACATACAACAATGTTCAATGCAAAATTTCAGGTATTGATTTGACACTATATTTATATTATAAAGAAACTCCTATTCAAAATTGAT